TACCGGTGCACAAGGCACCAAATTTTTACTTGGACACGGCCAAGATTTTATATATGAAATAATCTCATATTTTGAGATTTAATTTCAATACCCCTTTAACCCCCCTACGGAAAATAAATAAATGAATGCAAGAGAAAAATATAGATCCGAAAATCGCTGAATCGGGAATCGAACCCGAGACCTTTCGCTTGCCGGGCGACTGCTCTTCCAGCTGAGCTATTCAGATCCTTTCGATTCTATACTTTTCTCTGTTATATATATTAATGTTGGTAAACAAACGCATTTTTTAAGCCAGCGTGTATCAAATATAAGAGTTTTAACAAGGCTCTGTAATATAAATATAAATTTAACGTATAAGACGGGCAACAAGAGCCAAATCGCGGATGACAATGCGTTGTTCTAACGAAACTAAATAATTTTTCGTTAGAATTAAATACCGGTGCACAAGGCACCAAATTTTTACTTGGACACGGCCAAGATTTTAAATATGAAATAATCTCATATTTTGAGATTTAATTTCAATACCCCTTTAACCCCCTACGGAAAATAAATAAATGAATGCAAGAGAAAATCTTGGCCGTGTCCAAGTAAAAATTTGGTGCCTTGTGCACCGGTATTTAATTCTAACGAAAAATTATTTAGTTTCGTTAGAACAACGCATTGTCATCCGCGATTTGGCTCTTGTTGCCCGTCTTATACGTTAAATTTATATTTATATTACAGAGCCTTGTTAAAACTCTTAAGAATATTATTGTTTTAAAAGAGAGAATATGTATTACATCTTATATCTCTCTTTTATATAATATATATATAAAAACTATTTATGAAAGTTAATTGTTTAGAATAACAAGGAAATATATATATATATATATATATATAAATCGCTTAATTTTTTAACTTTTAAAAAATATATTTACCACAAATCTTGAGGGTTTAACACTTATTTTCACACTTAATCTGCACTTTATCTGTTTAGAATCAAAGTTCTAAGTTGCGTTTCACTTTTAGGTGTACGACTTATATTAATTAATGTGATATGTCAGTTCAAGAGAGAATAATCGTGCTTTCTTATATCAATCTCGTACTTTCGAGTGTTTTGTTTATTAGCGCGTAACTACGCAACGTTGGGGCTTCCTAGACAAAAATTGAATGGGGCCCTTTGCAAATTTAAAAATTATAATGTGTATATTGCAGGATACGTATTCCAAAAAGATCAAGATCTCAAAAATTATATATCTTAATAATTATATTCATTTTGAATAGCATGTTAACAGTTCTAGATATTTAGAAGCCCCTTAAAGCTGGGGACGTGATTATAATTAATGAATATGAATCTTAAAAAAAATAATACAAGCGATTATTTTTTATTACTAAAATAAGATATTTTAAATAGTCAAAAAGACATCCTTTAGATGTCTTTTAGCCTTGCCGAAAAGATAACTTAAAAAAGACATCTTTTCGTCATCTTTTAGTTTTATGTGCTGTGTCTGGGGTGGTATTAATAAAATTATTAATAAAATTATACATGCCAACAGGGAGACTCAGGACTCAAAATAAAAATCTGAAAAAATTAGAGATTTTTTTTTTCTACATTTAGAGCTTATTAGATTTACGACCATCCAACATTAAAATTCTGAAAAAACCTATATAACGACCACCCTAATATACAGGGTAGGCCATTTTAATCTTTCCACTAAAATTTCTCAAAATCCAAAAATTTAAGACAAAAATGTTTCAGATAAAAGTTGTATGGTTTCAAGGGGGACATGAGATGGTGTCATTGATTTGACCTTGAATAGCCATTTGAAGGTTACGTGAAGGTCAATTTCAATTTCTTAAATGGAACACTATATTTTTTCTTGCATACTTTTGTAGCTGACTTCGAGATCTTTCCAAAACACTACAATAAAATATTTTTTCATGAAGTATTTTTCGAGTTATTAAGGCTGCAAATTTGCAGTATTTTGACATAAAATACAAAATATCTTGGGAAATATTCATTTTTCGATTATCATACCTTAATACTTTTATGCACAGAATAATGAGATGAATCAGTTAATGTAAAGAAAACACATAGTTACCTTTAAAAAAAAATATGAAAATTGCAATAAGCAGTTAGATAATTTATTTCAAGTAAACAATATTAAAATTCAATTGATTCGTCTCATTATTCTGTGCATAAAAGTATTAAGGTATGATAATCGAAAAATAAATATTTCCCAAGATATTTTGTATTTTATGTCAAAATACTGCAAATTTGCAGCCTTAATAACTCGAAAAATACTTCATGAAAAAATATTTTATTGTAGTGTTTTGGAAAGATCTCGAAGTCAGCTACAAAAGTATGCAAGAAAAAATATAGTGTTCCATTTAAGAAATTGAAGTTGACCTTCACGTAACCTTCAAATGGCTATTCAAGGTCAAATCAATGACACCATCTCATGTCCCCCTTGAAACCATACAACTTTTATCTGAAACATTTTTGTCTTAAATTTTTGGATTTTGAGAAATTTTAGTGGAAAGATTAAAATGGCCTACCCTGTATATATATATATATATATATATATATATGTACCACACATATACAGGATGTTCAAAAAGTATAGAAGCACCTGAATTATTCCAAAAATATGCAAGATAAAAAAATGTTTTAAACAAAAGTTGCAGGACTTCAAATAAAGCATTATGTAACAATATCAGTATGACCTTGAACAGCGTTGTCAAGGTCACGTAAAGATCACTTTAAATTTTTTAATGGAAACTTCCACTTTTTATTACATATTCTTATAGTTCAGCTTTAGAATTTTTCAAAACACAATAATAAAGTATTTTTTTTTAGTTATTAGATCTGAAGTTTATAGAATTTTAACATAAAATACAAAATATCTGGTAAAACATTCAGTTTTCGGTAATTTTACTTTAATATTATTATGTACAGAACAATAAGACCAATTAATTGATATAAGAAAAACACAGAGTTGATTTTAAAAAAGTAAGCAATTTGCAATATATTTTTTTTTTATATGAATAAAAAAATATTTTGGTATAGTGTTTTGAAAAGTTCTCGAGCGAAGCTACAAGAATATGGAAATGCAGAGAAAGTTACATTAAATATACCGGGTTTTTCAGGAAGAATAATTAACATTCTAGAACATAATAAATACAGATTATTTTAAGTTTATATAAGCATGTATTTTGTTCTGGACGGGGTTATAAAAATACAACGTGATCAGTTTTAAGAACAAATGAATTTATTTAAAAGTAGCAAATTTTATGTTTACAGTTATATTATACATATAAAACAATTAAATTTTATAATTTTGAATAATTAATAGTAACATTTTGAAATTCTTCTCTCTTTATTCTTGTTTGCTTTTTTTCTTGATCTGACACTAAAAGATATTCTAATAAATAAATAAATAAACATATATGCACATATATGCATATATAAAATGTAATTATTGTATAATATATATGCAATTTTATATATAGTATTGTGTATATAGTTATATTATATATCATATACAAAGTGTTTCAGGAAGAATGATTAGCATTCTAAAGTATAGAAATATATAAAGTATAGAGATTGTATACCTTATTTTAAGCAATAAAGTTTATATAAACATGTGTTTCATTTGTGAACGTGGTTATAAAACTACAATGTGTTCAGTCTTAAGAACAAATACATTTTTTTAACTTAATAGAAGCAAATTTTATGAAACAATTACATTAAATTTTAAGCTTACAATTTTAAATAATTAATTTAAATTAATATTAATTAGTAAACAATAATTTAAATTAATTAACAATAAATTTGGCATGAGTGTAAACATAAAACATTTTAATTACACCAGAAACAAAAAATTTCAAATTAACGCAAAACTTATTAAATGTGATCTAATGTTTACATTTGTATTCGGATAGTAACAAAAAACGACAAAAATTAAAAAAAAATTAATTAATTAATTATTGTTTCATAGTATTTATTTCTCCTAAATTAATAAATGTGTTTGATCTTTAAAATTGAACACATTTTATCTTTAAAACCGTCCAAAATAAGATGTTTGTATAAATTTTTTTGCTTAAAATAATTCATACAATCATGTTCTAGAATATAACCATAGAATATTGATCATTCCTTGAAACATCTTGTATATGTATATAGGATGTTCCATCAAAAATAGCTATTCTCTTTTATTTTTTAAACTAAAAGAGATAGACTATAATATACATATCAAATTAAATGGTCTAATCTGAATTCTATTGTAAGCATATCCAAGTAAGAAACAAATATATAAAAAATGTTTAAAACTCATTTCAAAGATATTTTTAAAATGTTAAAATAATTGGTTAAGTCCCTTTTTATATAAGTCGCATTTTAAAAAACGTTTACCTTAATGTTAATTCAGTATAAATATTTATTTAACATTTATTAAATATTTATTTAAGACATTTCTATCAGGCTCTCAATATTAAATATAATACATATGATAGAAAGACTGTAAGAGCCGAACGCGGATGTTGCTGCGTGTATTCCGACGAAAATTAATTTTTTATCGGAAATAAATAATTATATGCACAAGGCACAAATTTAACTTGGTCACTGCCAAGACTTAAATATATAGAATAATCTCATCTTTGAGATTTAATTCCATTGAACCCCCTCTGACCCCCTTAAAGAAATAAATGTGAGAAAAATATAGATCCGAAAGTGGCTGAATCGGGAATCGAACCCGAGAACCTTATATTTAAGAGAACCTAAATATTTAATATTTTATTATTAAAATATTAATAAAATAAATGTTTATTTAACGTTTATTACATATTTATTTTATTAATATTTTTAAAAAATATAAAAATTTATTAATATTTTTAAAAAATATAAAAATATATAAAATATTTAATAAACGTTAAATTAATATTTATAATACATTAACATATAAAAGTAAACTTTTTAATGAATAAAAAGGGACTTAACCAATTATTTTAACATTTTTTAAATAGCTTTTAAAATGAGTTTTAAACATTTTTTATACATTTATTTGCTACTTCGTAGTGGTTGCTTACTGAAGCTGTTTATGTAAACAAATGGAGAAGTTTGCACTCTCTGTTTCTCTCTACGCAGATATAAGGTGAATCAAAAATATTGTTTTCAAAATTTGTGAACTTGTCCCTTTTTATGCAAGAATACACAATTTTTTTAAACATACTTTTGACTTACCTTGTACACACACACCGATTACACTTATTACTTTTAATGATGATATAATTTTTATCTGTTGTGATGAATTTTCTTCAAATTTTTTTTTCTTTAACGTGCGATTAACATTTATTATAGTAGTCAAAGACATTCGCTCTTCTAATTTCTTAATGTCTTTTAGACTTCGTACTGAAAAGTACGGTGGATCAACTGTAAATAATTATTACACAGTTATTATATATAAAAATAAAATATATATGTATAATTTCGAAAAAGAATAAAAGTATTAACATATAATCATAAAAAAATTGCTGTGAAATGTGTGTGTATACGAAGAAAAGGGAACAAGGAAATCATTTTAAACAATTACTTAAATATTTAATAATGTTATTGAATTTAAAATTTGTTAATTTAATGTTGTTTGAAAATTTGTAAGTTCAAAAAATAAATGAATTTATCGATAATTCTTTAATTTAGTTGATAATCGAAGATATAAATTTATTGACATTTTTTGATTTACAAAAACATTTTTAAGAAGCCCTTATTTATTATTATATTTTTTTGAAACACCATGATTACGAAATCAAAATATCAAAGCAGGAAAGTTTAAAATTAATGAAATTGAAATTAATAATAATAATAATAAATATTTAAACATTTCTTATTTGCATATTGCATCTCGCCAATTACTTAAATTTTATCTCCTTTTATAAGTTCATAATCGTTTTCTTCAAAATTTGTAATATGTACTTCTAATTTAAAGTACCCATCAGTGATGGATCCACATCCAATTTTCTTATTCAAATTAGTTTTATAAATTGGCCCAAAATTGGACTTTATATAGCCCTCTAATGCTATAAAAGATATAAAAATATATAAATATATATAAATATATAAACATATAAATATATAAACATATATACAGAGTGAGTCTAATAGAAAATTCATTACGTTCTTCTCAAAAAGAAAAGGTTAAAGAGATAAAGGAAGATATAAAGAATAATATATATTATCAAAATTATAGGTTTAAAAATATCTATTTACAAATCTTATCACTTTGACCTTAAATGGTATTGCCAATGTCAAGACAAAAACTTGAATTTTTTAAATATTAATAGAATCACCATACTTTTTTTATACAAATCGATTTCTATAATATTCTGTATAAAAAATTATAAGAGTAAAAAGGTCAAAAAGTGAATAGTTTAGGAGATATTTCATATTTTAATTTGACATAATCTTACATAAATTATGAAATATATATCTTGTAAAATATTCATTTTTCAATAATCTTATCCTAATACTTTTATGTACAAAATGGCTTCTAGTTGAAAATTACATATTTTTTCTTAAAAACAATTATGTATTTTCTCTAGACTAATCGATTTTTCTCATTATTTTATTCATAAAAATATTAAGATAAGATTATCAAAAAATGAATATTTTAAGAGAAATTTCACAGTTCATGTAAGATTATGTAAAATTAAAATATAAAATATTTTATAATCTATATATTCACTTTTTAATCATCCTACTCTTTTATAACTTCTTATACAGAATATTACAAGGAATCAATTTATAAAATAATAAAAATATATGATGATCTTATTTAAAAAATTCAAGATGTTTTTACTTTGACCTTGGCAACATCATCCAAGATCAAAGTGATAAGATTTGTAAATCGATATTTTAAACCCCTAATTTTGAAAATAGATATTTTCTATATCTTCCCCTATCTCTAATCGTTTTTGAAAAAAACGTGGTGGACTTTTTATCAGACTCATCCTGTATATGTATATATTCAGGATGTTCGATTTAATCGGTCTACACCAATATTTCGAAAAATATAGAAAACACGAAAAAAATGTTTTATACAAAAGTTTTATAACTTTGAGGGGGACAGACAGGATATCATTGGTTTGATCTTGCATAATCGTTTGAATCTTACGTGAAGGTCACTTTCAATTTCTTAAATGGAAACCCTTATTTTTTAATGCATATTCTTGTAGTTGCTTATTTCGAGAGCTTTTCAAAACACTATAATAAAATACTTTCCTCTTAAGTACTTTTTGAGATATAAAGCTTAAAGTTTACAATTTTTTAACATAAAACATAAAATATCTTGTAAAATATTCAGTTTTCCGTAATCTTACTTTAATACTTTTATGCACGGAATAATGAGACCAATTAATTGATATAAAGAAAACAAATATGTATTTAAAAAAAATGTAAGTAATTTGCTACTGCAACTGCACACTTTTTTTTAATGCAACTATGTATTTTTTTACACTAATTGATTGGTTTCATTATTCTATGCATAAAAGTATTAAAGTAAAATTGCTGAAAACTGAATGTTTCACAAGATATTTTGTATTTTATGTAACTCAAGAAATATTGAAGAGAAAAATATTTTATTATATTGTTTTGGAAAGCTTTCAAGATAAGTTACAAGAATAAGTATTCAAAAATAGGAGCTTCCATTTAAAAAATAGAAGTTGATCTTCATGTGACCTTCAAACAATTATCCAAAATCAAACTAATGGTACCATTTTTCGTTTTCCTTGAAGTTATAATATTTTGGTATAAAACATTTTTTTTGTATTTTCAATATTTTTCGAAATATTAAATAGTATTATGAGAAATGAATAAAAATAAAAAGAATAATAATAAACAATTCATGAGTATGAGAAGGCATAAGATTGAATTGTAATTTACCAACTCTTGATGATGTATTCATTACATCACAAAACTCCACAGGTTCCGGTTCGATTAAATTGGTTCGTTCCATATTATATTTCCCTAAATTGGAGATTGTTATATTACTCTGGATCTGTAGCTCGTAGGGCACATTGCCGTTATTATATCGTGAAATTTTAGAAGTACGAGCCTGCACTCCGTTTAAATGAATAATCTATAATATAAATTTTATATTAATATACAAAAATAAAAATATACAAATAATTAACTTATTGAATTATAAATATTCGTGATCGATCTGATACATTTTATGCCTAAAAATGTCTTGTTCGACCACCGAATATGAACATCCTTTATGGAAATTTAATACTAGTGAGTTAGTGCTTACCCACATAGAACAAAAGATCTAGTAGATGTATATATTAGAGCTATAAATCTATGGAACATCTATATCTATTTAAGATATTTTCTATATTTATAATATATGTATATCTAATGTCAATTTATATACGTATATAAATTGTATCTATTATACGTATGAAATTCATATATAAAACGCATATACAACGATATACAATTTACAGCTAATAGATATATATTTGAGATATATATATATGTATATGTAAAATGTATATATGGTGACATATTATTGATGACTTGTTAGATGTATATTATACATATGTAAAACATATATATACTGACATATTATTGATGACTTGATAGACGTATATTGTACGTATGTAAAATGTATATATAGTGACATATTATTGATGACTTGATAGACGTATATTATACGTATGTAAAATGTATAAATAGTGACATATTATTGATGACTTGATAGATGTATATTATACGTATGTAAAATATACATAAATTATGCATTATTTACTACTAATATACATATATAATATGTTAAATGAATGTATATATACATGATGATGTCACTAATAACTAATATAGATGCTTATTAGAGGTATTTAATACGTTCATTTTATGTATTATATGTAAAAATATATTACATATAACCATTCAGCGTAATATTGCACGTTCATTAATTACATTTATACATAATGTATTTTCTACAATTAACATATATCTATATAAGAAGCTTAAAAAATATTTAAAAATTGTGCATACTTTTCAACATGTTGCATTCAACTGATATATAATATATTACTTCTAAATATATGTACATTGATATGTTATTTACAGACTGTTATTAACAGACATCAATTAAATATAGTAATAAGTTTATTTACGTGCATAAAAAATATGTCATATACAATAATTTAACATATTATATTATATATGTATATTAATTATATATATGTATAAGAATATTAATTGTAATATAGATGTATATTAATGCAATATTTATGTATATTTTACATACGTGTAACATTCATCTATCAGTCATCAATAATATGTCAGCATATGTACATTTTACGTATACGTAGTATATAATCTCATATATATATATATATATATATATATATATATACCCGGTAATGTACAAGTAGTATATACAACGACTAGGTTTCTGGAATCGCTTTTATCCAGGGTTTGATTCGATCCGTGGACAATATTGAATCATATGGTTTAGACGAGACATTATATCCCGGTATGTCTTGGACTACATATCTATTTTTATCTAATATCTTAGCAATACGATATGTTCCTTTATATTGAGACTTGAGTTTTTTGTCTTCTCCTGGTTTTACAGTGGAGTCTTTAATCATAACGAGATCGCCAACATTGTATTTAGTCGGTTTTCTAAGTCTTTTATCATAGTAGGTTTTGTTATATTTTTTAATCATGTTAGTGGCTTCTACTGCTATTTCACGACAGGTCTCTCTGTCTTTCTGAAAATCTAATTCGTTTTTAGCAATTACATCCAGAAAATCTACTAACTCAATGTCAGCGTTATTACGCTATTCTATACCAAGCAGAACTTTAGAGGGGAAAGCTTTTAAAGACGAATGAAATGTATTCATCACGTATTGCACAGTATTTAGGTGTATATTCCAACACACGTAATCATCTATGAGTTTCCTAAGGGATGATTTTAGAAATTGAATAACTCTTTCTACAATGCCGTTAGCCTATGGAGCAGCTACAGCAACTAGATGATGCTTTATTTTATAAATTCTAAGAAAGTCGATAAACTCTGACGCGGTGAAAGATGAGCTTCTATCACTAATGACCGATTCCGGATAACAGAAATTATGAAAAATATTAGTTAAGGCTTTTACCGAATTTTTAGAAGAGGTTGATTTCACGGCGATAAGCCATGTAAATCTTGAGAAAGTGTCGATCACTACTAGTATATATTTCTGTCCATCTATCGATTCTTTGATAGGTCCAAAATGATCTAAATGGAGAATCTGAAAGGGACGCTCTGGCGTATTAGTTAATTGGAGTTCGCCCTCGCGTGAGTTGGGAGAAGAATTAGAAATGAGACAAATTAAACGATTATCAATGTGGCTACGAATACGTTTTCTTAACGAAGGGAACCAATAATGACTTGCTAAACCTTGATAGGTTTTCTCAAAACCACAATGGGCCATATCATCGTGGTAGACCCTGATTATGTTAGTTACCATGGCTTCCGGTACCACAAACCTGTGTTTGTTAGTATCTTTTCTAAAAACTAGACCATCTATCAATTGGAATTTTTCTTGGTCTTCTTTTTCTAAGTTTTCAGCCAAACGTTTCAAGAAGGGATCTGTTAATTGTCTGTATTGTAGCTCTTTTTCTAGCGGAATTGTTTCTGTGAAGCAGACGGCTCTGCTGAGAGCATCTACATGCGCCATCCGAGGGGCCTCTCTATGTTTGGTATTGAATGTATAATCCAGTAATCTCAGGATCTACCTCGCTATTCGAGGATTTAGACAGGCTTTATTGATTGCATGCACTACCGCATTGCAATCTGTAACTACTGTAAAGTCTATTCCATATAAGTAAATATGGAATCTTTCGATAGTTTTGACTATTGCGAGCATCTCCAGTTCAAAACTATGATAGTTACTTTCAGCACCATTAGTGCACTGACTGTAGTAAGCTACTGGCGACCAATTATTGAATTTTTGCTTTTGAAGCAAGATGCCAGCTATTGCGACTGCACTAGCATCCGTATGGATTTCTGTGGGTAACGTGGGATTATATACGGATAAAATGGGCGCTGAAACTAGCTCATTTTTAAGAAGATTGAAAGCTGTCTGACAACTTTCGTCAAATTTAAAGGATACAGATTTTTTTAATAAATCCGTAAGAGGTTTGAAAGCATAGTTTTTAATAAATTTTCTAAAGAAATTAGTGAGACCTAAAAATCTTTGAATTTCTACTACCTTTTTTGGTATGGGGAAGTTTTTAACAGCTTCCACTTGTCTTTCGCTTAATGTAATCCCTGTAGGGGAAATTACATATCCTAAGTATTCTATCTTTTCTTTCAGAAAAAGACATTTATTATAATTCAATTGAAAATTATATTGTTTAAGAATTAACATAACTTGTTTTAAAACGCGTAAACTATCGTCAACCGATGTGGATGAAATCAAAATATCATCTATGTATACTAATATTTTATCTTCCCGAATCAATGGTGACAAAATTTGTATAAGACGACGCTGAAATTCAGCTGGTGCTTCACAATAACCGAAAGGAAGTTTCACGAATTCGAACTGGTCATCCGGTGTGGCAAACGCAAAATATTTTGTGTGTTCTGGAAAGATTTTTATATGGTGAAACCCGTCTTTTAAATCTAAAAGGGTAAATATCGTTTTATCACCTAAACGCGATATGCAGTCTTCTATCAGCGGAAAGGGGTATTTTTGTTTTATCACTCTACTATTAAGAGGTCTCAGATCAATACAAAGACGCATGGTACCGTTCTTTTTTCGAACCGGAACTATTCTAGCGCAGTACGGAGAAGAACTATACTTAATAATATTCCTATCAAATAGGTCGTCCGTAATCTCTCTGATCTGCTGCCTTTCAGACCACGCAAATCTTCGTGGCGCGTACGCATAAATAGAATCGTCCTTTAACGAGACTTTAACCGAGTGATCATCCTCCACTGGTGGGACGTCTGTATCTTCTACTTCTTTAATTACTTTAATTAATTTATGATCGGCTTCTGGACCAAAATCAAATTTTAATTCCGATAGAAAAGGAATAGAGTCCTTTTTTGGAAGTTCAACGATTTCCGTTGAGGCTACTTCTGAAAATAAATCAACTTTAATTTTTGATTCATTATTAGTCAAAGAAACAGTGAAAGTTATTTCATTGTCTTGAAGGAAATCTCTTCCTAAAATCAAATCCATGGAAGAAAAATTATCTTTTAAAACTAGCATATTTACAGATGCTGTAAAATTTGGCAAGGATTTTAAAACTAAATTCGTTTTTATTGAACCCAGAGTTGAAATGGTAGTGTTATTTACCGCTCTATATGTTTGTTTAGTACTGTTAAATCGCAAAAATTGAGATGAGAAAAATTTACTAAAAGTGGCATGGCAGATGAGACAATAGATCATTTTTTGGAGGAAATGCACCATATCACTGAAGTGTGCAGAACCACTAAAACTGTTTCAAAAAATGACAAAAGAAACAACCCCTCGAAGAATAACGACTTCAAGGACAGCAACGGTTCCCCTAAAAATGGACAGCAAAGGCCGGAAACTTTTTGTGCCTATTGCCGCAACAAGAGACCGGGCTTCCCGTGTCTATCATTGCTAGTAACTTGCATGCGACGTTATTTAATTTAACAATATTAAGGACGGTGTCTTGGGAAACAATTTTCCTACCGTTATCTTTAAATGTTACCGCTACTATAGAAGATGGACTGCTTGGCTGTTCATCGACTGTTGCTACCGTAGGAGAAGTTGTTGGGGATGATGCTATTTGCTGCTCCCTCCTTTTTAATTTTCTGCAATCCTCTCTTAGGTGACCCTTGTTGCGGCAATAGGCACAAAAAGTTTCCGGCCTTTGCTGTCCATTTTTAGGGGAACCGTTGCTGTCCTTGAAGTCGTTATTCTTCGAGGGGTTGTTTCTTTTGTCATTTTTTGAAACAGTTTTAGTGGTTCTGCACACTTCAGTGATATGGTGCATTTCCTCCAAAAAATGATCTATTGTCTCTGCACGTATATAGGCAGCTGTTGATTTAATGGAAAGATTGTTAATACCATTTATTAACAGTTGGATGGTGTCTTCATTATTAAGCCTGAGTGGATGTATTAATGCAAGCTTATCCATGGCGTATTCTTGAAAACTCTCTGATGCGAAATTCCATTTTCTGTCATTTATTTTCTGCATTACCACGTTGAAGAGGATTCTCCTTTTGAATCTTCGAATGATTGCATCTTTAAAAGTGTCCCAGGATTTATTTATATTACCCGGACTCAAATCCATCCAGCGGCGAGCAACTTTATTAAGTTTGGAGGTAGCCGCTGACAATCTGACAATAGGTGACAGACCATAATTATCCGCAATGGTCTCTATTTTTTCCAACCATAGGGAGATGTCTTCGTCTTCCGTACCACCAAAGGAAGATATGGAATTCGTTAAGAATTTGATGGATTGTGCTGTGGCAGCGAATGACATTTCTGGAACAAGGTTATTATTAGTATCTTGAAATTTGTGTCGCACCATACCTTGTGGTGAGAAAACAGGTATCTGCGAGTCTGCATAATCTGTTACTTGAGGAGTTTCTGAATATGACTCCTGAGCTTTGTAGTAATTCAACAGAGGCGTCTCTGGTGAGGATCCTTGGTTTGGATAACTTGTAGAGCATTGGTGCTGTATATGTGTTGGCACTAAATGCTGCATAGTGGTTGACCTTTGAGGCTGCGTAGTAATATGCAGTTGCTGTGAAGAAATGGGTACTTGATTATGAGCCGTTGAGACTAGCATTTGATGCTGTGTCGTTGGGACAGACAGTTGTTGCTGTGTGTAAATAGGCAGTTGATGTTACGACATCGAAACAGGCAGTTGATGCTGTGTTGAGATAGGCAGGTGATGCTGCGACATTGAAACAGGCAATTGATGTTGTGTTGAGATAGGCAGGTGATGCTGCGACATTGAAACAGGCAATTGATGCTGTGTTGAAATAGGCAGGTGATGCTGCGACATTGAAACAGGCAATTGATGCTGCTGTTCTAGCGTAGAAGTTTTTGAGACGGACATTGACATGAACATTTGTTGCATGATGGACTGCTGCTTAACTAGTTGTTGCAGCATGTCTTTTTGCTGGTCCATTTGTTCCTTTTGCAATTCTATTTGTTCTTTCAACGAGGAGTAAGATTGAGGCTGTGTATTTGTGGATGCCTGGTCCTGTGAGTCAATTTTAAAAGACAGATTAGAACTAGGATGATTTTCTTTCAAATTACCTGATACATCGGAATGTGATGGGTTTTGTTCCTTCATTGTCGTCTCTGTTTGCTCAGAATTTTTTTCTAATTGCAGCTTTTCTTGTCTAATTATGTGATCTAAGATCTCATCTATCCATCTATCCTTATCTTGACTTGGTAGGATGATGCCGTATTTTCTTCCTTCAGCTCGTAAGAGAAGAAGAGATAAATCACTTAATTTCGCCTTGACGAGTTCCATCGATGTGTCTGTAGACATCTTGAAAGCGCGGGGATCTCGCGACTCGTGAGCTCGGGAAACAAAGGCACTAAGAAAAATAAAAATGGCGACTGCTTTTTAGCGCGAACGACGCATTTGATACCAATGGCGTCTAACCGGCACTTTTCGTGACCGTAACAAAGAAAATTTTCGAATGCGATTAAAACACTGAAAATTATAGAAAGCCTCGACCGCCTTTTGGGCAATGCAAGGATTGACTCGTCAGTCTTCGGACAACGCGAGAATATTTCGACAGTCTTTGGACAACGCGAGAATATTTCGACAGTCTTTGGACAACGCGAGAATATTTCGACAGTCACTGGACAACGCGAGAATATTTCGACAGTCACTGGACAACGCGAGAATATTTCGACAGTCACTGGACAACGCGAGAATATTTCGACAGTCTTTGGACAACGCGAGAATATTTCGACAGTCACTGGACAACGCGAGAATATTTCGACAGTCACTGGACAACGCGAAAAAGAGAAAACCACTCAAAGCAAGGGATATCCCACTTCTGAAGCTGTGAAGACGTTTGTTTTTCTGAGGAGAGGACTCTTTGTTGGAATGCCTGAATTCGCGGGTGTCAGGAAAGCCGCGGGAGAGGCGAACAAAGGGGTCTTGCTCATGAGATGGTTGTAATAATTGTCACACCACGTTTAACTGAACTAATCTTTATTCAAGCGCATGGCACATACAAATACCATGTTCCCGTCGTGTGACTCGATATTCTAGCGTGGCGTATGCCATACAACTTCTTCCTACGTCGTTGTACGTCGTGCCCCACCACACTCTCCCGCTCTTCTCTTTTTTCCTCGTCGACCACGAGGTTCGCACCGCTGCGCGCGCATCTCACACCTGCGCGCGCATCTACAGGATGCGCGCGCCTATCTGCACGCAGGCATACTTATGCTATGCAAGATATATTTTGTAATATATCTTACATTATGTTGCAAGTTGCTACTTCAGTATTCTTAAGATGATTTGCTGTTTAATAAAATGTGATAGGATATGTATACGGTATGAGACTTGATATCATTTCTGCAAAAGTTAATATATATATATGATATTTCTAAATATTATGCTGTGTATTAAAATTATGAAATGTCTATTTCAGATATAAAAGAATTGATATATCCTATGCATCGGTAATAATTGCAGAGCAGGCCTGTCATCAAGCATCAAAAAAGAATCCATTTACAAAGCATGATATTTTGTTAAGCGAGAGTTCATTATTATTGTCTCCGCTTTCAGAATCTTGTGAAATGTTATGGAATAACCAACTGTGACTAATTTAATTGTCGTGTTTATTGAAGAAGGATCAGTGTGCTTCTTTATATGATTGCAGAAGGCATAAAACATCTATGTTCCTAACTACTTATATATAAGTGTGTTTGTTTGCATATGTTTGTATATACGAGTTGTAAAATAGTCTAAAGATTTATGTACAAAATGCAGTAATGTATCATCTGCATTGCGATATTGCATTAATTAATTTTATACTGATATATTTATTATGTACGTCTTATGTGTCCAGATATATCAGTAATTCCAATATAATTTAAATTTATATTATATTTATATTATAATTTATATTTATAATATATTATAATTCATATTTATATTTGTTTAGAATTATATTTACATAACATATACATCAGTGTCAAATTAATAAAGCAATATCTCAATGTAGATGCATTACTGTACATAAATCTTTAGACTATTTTACAGCTCGCGTGTACACAAACACATGCGAGCAAGTACATTTATGTATAAGTAATTAAGAATATAAATGTTTTATGCCTTCTGCAATCATGTAAAGACTAGAAGCACATTGATCCCTTTTCGATATACACAGAATCTAAATTACTCATAGTTGGTTATTCCATAACATTTCACAAGATTCTGAAAGCGGAGACAGTAATAATGAACTCTCGCTTAACAAAATCTCATGGTTTGTAAATGGATTCTTTTTCGATGCTTGATAACAGATCTGCTCTGCAATTACCACCAATGCATAAGATATGTCAATTCTTTTATATCTGAAATAGACATTTCATAATTTTAATACACAGCATAATATTGAAGAATGTCATATATAGAATAAGTTTGGCAGAAATGATAACAGATCGTATACCGTGTACATACCTTATCACATTTTATGGATCAGCAAATCATTTTAAGAATATTGAAACTTGCGTTATAAATGATATTTTTCACAGCATTGATGAAGTATTGCGATACTCATACACCGCTTCTCATACGCCGAGATAATTTGCATATTATTTAATAATTATTGCGAATTTTGCAAAATAAATAGAGGATCTTTCTATTCAGTTTAACATGCAGTTTAACGTGCGGTAGATCGCACGCTTTGAGCTGCGACCGACAAAAGACACGCGACATATGATACCGCGCCGAAAAGTATTATAACTTTGTTTTTTCGACGATATGAAAATGCGAAAATGATGACGATATCGCGTGTCGCGTGTATGACACCCTGCATATAATATACATATACAACATTGTATATTTAAAATTATTCCATTCAAGATTTATTAGAGAGAACGACGAATGCGATCATGCACGCACGATTTATGCTACTAGATTATTTTATAAACAGCGTGGAGATCTTTATCATTTGCACCTTGCCGATGTATTTATTTCAACGTTAACATACAGTTAAACATTAACGCTGCCTAATTTAACGTGAAATCTATCACAATTCGGCATGCGCGTGAAAGAGAGGGAGAGAGGGAGAGGGAGAAAGAGAGAAATAGAAAAACGAAGAGAGATATATGTATATATATAAATTAATCATATGATTCTTCCTGATTCACGCATAATGCGTAAGAAGAAGAGACAGAAAAACTATAATTCACTTCACACATTTTATAGATTTTTGCTTCATACGCATGAATCAAAAAGTATCATATAATTAAATTATATGTACATACATATATCTTTATCTGCTTCTCTCTCTCTCTCTCTCTCTCTCTCTTTCACGCGCACGCCGAATTGTGATACATTTTATGTTAAATTAGGTAATGTTAATGTTAAACTATATGTATGTTAACGTTGAAATAAATACATCGGCAAGTTGTAAATGATAAAGAGTTCCACGCTGATTATAAAACAATTTAGTATCATAAATTGTGCGTGCATGAGCGTAATATTAACCGGTCTCTCTAATAAATCTTGAATGGAATCATTGTAAATATACAATTTTGTATATGTATAAATGCAGGGTGTCATACACGCGACACGCGACGTCATAATTTTCGTATCATTTTTATATCGCCGAAAAAACAAAGTAGTAATACTTTTCGGTGCGGTATCATATGTCGAGTGTTATTTGTCGCTCGCCGCTCAAAGCGTGCAATCTACCGCACGTTAAACTACATACTAAACTCTCTAAATAGAAAGATTCTCTACTCAGTTTACAAAATTCACATTAATTATTAAATAAGCAAACATTATCTCGACGCATAAGAAGCGGTAGACCGCACGCTTTGAGCGGCGAGCGACATATGATACCGCGCCGAAAAGATATTATCACTTTGTTTTTTCGAAAATAGAAAAATAATGCGAAAATTTTCACGATGATGCGTGTCGCGTGAAGGACACTTTGCATATGCATATATGCAGCATTGTATATTTACAATAATTCCATTCAAGATTTATTAGAAAGAACGACGAATACGATTATGCACGCACGATTTATGCTACTAAAACTACATGTTAAAGTTGAAATAAATACGTCGGCAAGTTGCAAATAATAAAGGGCTCCACGTTGATTATAAAACAGTTTAGTATCATAAATCAAGATATAAAGCGATAATACTTTTTCGGCGCGGTATCATATGTTGCGTGTGTCTTTTGTCGCTTGCCGCTCGAATCATATACGGTCTACCGCTTCTCTTGCACCGAGACAATTTTGCTTATTACATGATTATTGTAAATTTTGCAAACTAAGGATCACTCTTTAATCCGGAGCAGGATTTCTGAACGCACTCCTTGTTATGATTGATTTCCTAACCTTTCATAATATCTACGTTTTGTAATTTATGAAGGTGTGAATAAAGTACATATTAAAGAAAGTTAAATTTATTATAATAATCGTCTAAAGTAAATTTTTTTAGCAGAAATTAACAGCGTCTTAATTTGCAGGTTCTAATATTTACTGTACAACTTTAAATACCTAGCTCTCAATGAAACAAGAGTGCAATTAATTGATATTTCTAACAATATTTCAATAAATAAATTATAATATATTTTTTAATTTTGGTTGTACATCAGCTTTGCCCTACAGCAAATAGAAGTGTTTTGTGCAATACTTCATCAATGCTGTGAAAAATATCATTTATAACAAGTCGCTACTTCAGTATTCTTAAGATGATTGGCTGTTAAATGAAATGTGATAGGATATGTATACGGTATGAGACCTGATATCATTTCTGCAAAAGTTAATATATATATATATTTCTGAATATTATGCTGTGTATTAAAATTATGAAATGTCTATTTCAGATATAAAAGAATTGACATATCTTATGCATTGGTGGTAATTGCAGAGCAGACCTGTTATCAAGCATCGAAAAAGAATCCATTTACAAACCATGAGATTTTGTTAAGCGAGAGTTCATTATTACTGTCTCCGCTTTTAGAATCTTGTGAAATGTTATGGAATAACCAACTGTGACTAATTTAATTGTCGTGTTTATTGAAGAAGGATCAGTGTGCTTCTTTAGAGACATGTTAAGCTTATTTAAACATTTGCAATGTTTTTTTTCTTCTTAGACCACTTTTACAAACCATACATTATAAAATTTGAAAAATCATATTGGTGACTTTTCCATAAAATCATTACAAATTGTCAATAGTAATTTTTTTTTATAAAAAAGCTATATAGTTGCGTAGTTGTCAAATGATATGTCAAAATTAAATTGTGTGTAAAATTTAATTAATCTTTCATTTAAATTTACCTGTTTATATATTATAAAAAAGCTATATAGTTGCGTAGTTGTCAAATGATATGTCAAAATTAAATTGTGTGTAAAATTTAATTAATCTTTCATTTAAATTTACCTGTTTATATATTTCCTTAAAAAACCAATTATTTATGCCTCAGTATATGCAATTAAGAATGTACATTATAAATAGTAATTTTTTTATTATGGTTACATATATATATATATATATATGCATCAACTCACTAATATAAATATACTTTATAAAACTAAAAATATTTATGATTTTATATCAGAGTCATCTTTTTAATAACATTATATATATTTTAAGCACTTTTAATTCTTTTTCTAACAAACTATATAAAATATTATTTGTATAAATATATTTGTCAAGTAATAGAAACATAGGTAAAAGGAATGTTAACAATGAATGTTATTACATATCACTACATAGCACGATTTAAATAATGGTTATTATGGTCATAGAAAGCCATGTAAACAAATATCAAAGCATACATTTAAATTTTTTTGATCTTGTGACGTTTTTTCCCGCACGTCGATTCCCGTATCATAGGTGCGTTTTCGTTGCTGCTACCAGGCTACAAGCGGTTGGTTCGTGTTTGAAGACATGACGTCACTAATAGTAACCAAGAATAAAAACGTCTCGAGCAGGCAGTGCGCAAACGTGTTAGCGTGGTTGCTATACACGATGGATCCTGAGAGGTTATCTATGATGTTAAGTATGATGGAAATGATGATTGATGATGAATTATCACATATTGTTAATATGTGTCAGTTACAATCCACAAGCAGGATTGCCCTTTCCTTTCTGAAGGATAGAATAAATCATTTCAAAATAGGAATAATTGCTAACGAAGAGTGGGTGACCCATTACATTGATCAAGATTTTCATAAACAGTTTAGGTATAATAAGCACAAAGCATCAGCTTCGTTACTGCCACATTTCTTATTCATCATGCTGTCGATGTTATTTTTGACATTCATTGACTTGTTAGATTAAGTGAATTCTATCTAAATTTGTCTTTTTTGACAGGATGATGAAGAGCACATATTGGGCTCTTATAGACACAGTTCGACCTTACTACCCTGTCAAGTGCCAGAGAGGTGATGCACCTTTGGTAACAGTTGAGAAAGCTGTCCTGATGACATTGTGTTATCTGGGGAAGCATGTGCCTTTGTCTGATATAGGTGATCGATTCGCTGTGGCTCAAAGCACAGTTTTTAAGGAGGCCAAAACTATCATTTATATACTGTGTGATCTTAGAGATACATTTATTGTTTGGCCCAAAAAGAGTGAGTGTGTGATACTGAGCAGGCAATTTGAGGATCGTGCAGGATTTCCTGGTGAGCACTCTGTATGGCTTGGCTATTTTACTTTGAAATGTTTTTCTAAAGACAATGCTCTTCATGCAGAAGCTTTGTCATGTCTTATTGTCTCTTGCCATTTTTTCAGGTGTCATAGGAGCTATCGATGGTTGCCACATTGAAGTTGTACCTCCAGCAAACCAGCATTCTAGTTACATAGATCGTACATGCAACTACTCTATCACACTTCAAGGTGGGATTTTATGAAAACAGTGTATTTTTGCCATTAATATCATAATCTCTCTTATAGTAATATCAGCATTTCATTTTATAGGAATTTGTACTGCAACAAAAATATTTACAAATGTATCGATTGGAACACCTGGTTCTCGTAATGATGCCCACGTTATGAAGTACTCTAGCGTTTACCGGACGATAATGTGAGATGGAATGGAATCCATGTTTTTTAATAGCAATTATCATTTGATAGGTGATAAGGCCTACCCTAACAGGATGTGGTGCATGGCACCTTTCAAGTAAGTTGAACATTTTTGCATTCAAATATGTGTTGTTATATTTTACCATGTGAATAGCATTCTAATGCTCTTTCCTTGAATAGGGATTTTGGGAATCTTACTCCAAGACAAAGAACATACAACTATCATCATAGTTCAACCCGCATTGTAATAGAGCACACATTTGGTCTTATGAAGGGCAGATGGAAGCGTTTGATGAAAGTCAATACAGAAATTGCCAAAGTCAGTGACATTGTACTAGCCATCTGTGTTTTGCACAATTTTTGTTATCTACACAATGATGAAGTGATTAAGAAAATGATTCAAGATAAAAGACGCATGCCTAACCAACATGTTTCCAACAATTATATAGACGAAGTCAGCAAAATACAAGGCGCAGAGAAACGCAATAGAATTGTACATTTGTTCTGAAAACTTTATTTGTAAGTCTTACTGTGATAAATGAAAAATATTATAGGAATATCTGGAATAAACTATTATATTGTCTAACTATTATATTGTCTTTATTTCTCATTTCCATCTCAGAGCACATATTTGCAAAATTAAATGTTTGGCAAAACTACATTAAATAATAGATATAGAAAGTATGTAAAAAAAAAGAATAACATTGTCTTATATTCTTATATTCCCTATTGTCTTATACATATTTTATAACAAAGAATATACTCAAAATAAAATTTTACTCAGATGGAAATACTGAGTGCAAAACACAACACAATAAAAACATTTTAAATAAGCACACTTATTGAAGAATAAAATAAATATTAACTTAGAACAAAACTAATAGATATACATTGGCACCAAAAGATACATATTACACACAAATCTGGGCTTTTTGCAGTTCCTTACATACTACGAAATGACTAAGACACTTTGGTAATGACAGGTAAGTACATAAAACTAGAATCTTTCTGTAATACTTCTTAACTTACAGTAAGTAGTATAAATATAATTCTAACTTAAGTAAAATAAAACTATAATAATCTAACTTAAAATAAAATAATGTAACACTTTTAGTATAAGTACATGAAATTTGAGGTAGTTTAAATAAAATGTTAATATAAGTACTAAATAATCCTCTGTATTGATATAAATCATATAGAGAGAGACATCTGAAGTAATAAAAGTATATTTGAAATGTGTTTGAAATTCATTTTCAAAGACTTTAAAAGTTGTTTCAAACATGTTTCAAATATTTTTTTGCTACTTGGGATATTCTCATAAAAAGATAATAAAAAGGTAACTATTATTTATCACATATGGAACATATCACATTTAATGCTTGTGTTAATCAATGTTAGCTATCTATTTGTAAATTACAATGTCTTTTAATTAGTAGTTTTATTTGAGCTTGTGTTGTGGCTCAACATATTGGTAATGATATTGAGAAAAGCTTTCTTAGTATCATTTGAATCTTGCATTAGTTTCATTAAACTTTCATTTTGCTTACGGCGTTCCTCAGCCTCATTTTTCAGAAAATCCAGGATGCAGGTGTTATCAATCCTAGGTTTCTTTAGCTTCGTGGATGACTTTACATGAATGAATGGGCTTCCATCGTTTTCATCTGATGATGCATTTTCAGACTCAGTATTACAAATCCTTATGTTCGTTTGTTTTGAAGAATTTGGAGCATTCGGAATCGTCGCTGGTTGCTCGTTAGAGGTAATGAGTGTAGGTGATACCTCTCTAGACAATGAATCAAGCAAACGTACTGGTTTTGCTTTGTGTTTCCCTTTAATAATGTCAAATACCTCATCATAAAATGCTGGTTTCTTTCCTTTTCCGTTACCAGAACTGCCAGCACCAGCATTCTGTAAAAAGTGCATCACAGCACTTTCAAGGTTGCGCCACTTCTGCGAGCAAACAGATCCTTCATCTCTTGTTCCAAAATTATACTTTTCTTTTAGTTCTACACCAATTTTTTCCCAAATCTTCTTCTTCACAGTTTTCTTATCATTTAATATCATCTGAATGTCCTTACGTCCCACAATTTCAATTAGGTCATGTGTGGCTGCAATATCCAGTGGTGATGGTTTATTATTTTTGACCCAAATCTCTTCGTTGCTTCTGTCAAAGATTTCACTCGACAAAGGTGAGATATTACGTATTTTAAAGCTTTCTTCACTAGAGCTCTCTGCAGTATTGGAATCCTCTATTATTGTAAAAGGTTTACAGGAATTAGCAGACTTAAATCGTTGGATTACGGAATCATCTAGGGGAAAAGAAATATATGATCCACCTGAAAAAAAAAAGTAGAAGTAGAACACAAAGATGCATTAAATATATAGAGAAATTCAAGTAGTTAGTATATAGCTCATTCCGAAAAACAAACGGGTAAAAATTAAAATATCAACTAAAATAAAATTGGACTTATTATATAGCAGGATTAGCTCTCAGCAAATATTTTATTTCAAAACATTTATTAAAATATGACACAAAGACGTAGGTAAGCTTCATGAAAGATAAATTTAATTGACTAACATAACCCCTACAGAACTCACAATGCAAGTATACTTACTTGAAACATGATGGAAAAACATTTGGCCATCAATAGAATGCACGTCACCATCAGCGCGCACGAGGAGGAAATGTTCGTTTAAGGTGAGCACCGTATTGTCCATTTTCGTTTTTACACCATGAATTTACCTCACGGTTGTATACACCATGTATACGATCGTGTCAACACTCTACAATTGATTTCGCGCCAAACAACCTACCACAACCGCGCTATCATCCTCAGGACCATGGCAGCGCGGTAGCAGCTACCGCAACCAACCAGGTTGCATCGATGACGTCACAACCAGAAACGAAAACGGTCGTGTTTGTTTCTGGTCGCTCGTGGTAGGGAAACGAAAACGCACCTCATGTGATCGCACCATGAAAGCTGGAATCCTGCTGCGTCATACCGTTAAGTGAAAATCCAGCCTGATCTCTCTGTTCGGTACTAGACGATTTTAAATACTTTTACATTTTTCTTTTTTTATCAAATAATTATTCTGAAAATGTATGTGTGTGTGTGAGTACAGTTTTGTAATAGAACTTTTTATTACACGCAAAAAATTCTCTCCTCTCGCTTCAAAAGTGATGGACGATGAGGTTAGATAATTTGTCTCGCTTTGTGTGGAAAATTCCAAACTTAGAAGATTTTAATGGCTTATTAATTTTATATTAATAACATTTTTTAAATCTCTGTATATATACAACGCAAGTTTTGTTCATCAAAACATATGTTGATCACTACATTTTATTGATATGATTACATAACCTAAAACACAAAAAAATTTGTTTTGATAGTTTTATTAACCTGCAATTTATATGTATATATAGAGGATTCAAAAATATTAATTAAAAAGTTAATAAAATGTTCTATGAATTAGAATCTTGCGCACAAAGCGAAATGAATTAACTAACTATACTGTCCTTCTTAGCAGCGAATGAAGAGAATTTTCTGCGGGTAACAATTAATTACAGAGAAATTGCAATTGGTATAGTTTATTCTTACTCTTTTATTTTTACTCTATATGTACTCTATGTACTATTTATATTATTTACTCTATTTTTTATTCAAGTGGAAACAATTCTTATAAAAGTTCTTTTATACTTTACAGATTTTGCATTATTGTGGTGTTCTATTACAAAACAGAGTTCTACACTACAAATCTGGACTCATAAATTTTTAGAATAATTATTTTATGAAAAATGTGATATATAAAAATACCTAACATCATCTAATATCAAAAGAGAAGAAATATCAAATAGTCACACTATATATGTACACTATATATGCAATCCGAAGGAATTGTCACTTATCAAACTAACTGGCATTTAATTAAACAAGTTTGTGGTAAGACATTTTTTATGAAAGTAAGAAAAATGTTTCTGCGCTTAAGTATTATTTGTTCTTTATTTGTTATATTATTTCAGGGACTTGATGCACTAATAAGATGCGATGATGTGAAGGTAAAGTGCGCACACACTTTTATTCTGGAAAAAGTGCATCGTAATATTTGTACGATACAAAATGTGTGCTTAAATGTTTGTATGGTTTGCTGTAACCATAGTTGTAATTTATTTTAATCAAATCGAGCTATTGTATCAACATGTAATGACATTTCTATAAGGTACTTATACTTCTATTACTTCACAAATATTATATTTAGTTTATTAAGAAAAGAACTGTGTGCTGTAAAAATTTATAAAGTTTTCAAGACATAACTCTAATCATAAATGTGATGCTTTTAGGTTTATACAGTATTATAGTGGGCTGATATATACATAAGAAAAAAATGAGCATATTTTACATAATAATGTATTACATTTACATTTGCATACTGGCTAGAAAAATTGACTTTAGGAAGATAATACAAACAGGTAAGCAAACAATTGTCAAATTAATTCAAATTTGACATACACATTTTAATTTTGATATATTCTTGACAAATATACAAGCATATGTTTTATTTAAACTAACTGTTTATAATTTGTAACTTCTTTTAATAAAGAAAATCTATCATAAATCTGATTTTTCAAGTTTTATAAAGTATAATTTTAGTGGTTAGTAAATAAAGAAAAGAATTATTTTTATACAATAATAAAATATTTTTATGTGTAATAGAATTATTTATATTTACATATTTGACATTGAAAGAAACAAAAATATATTAGACTTTAATAGAAACAAATACGAAAAATATATAGAAAAATATATAGAATATTAATTTAATTTTACATATTTAACACAACATACGTTTTCCACATGTAAAGTGTAATAAAATTCTAATAAAAGACCTATTCAGTCGAATTTTCAATATTTAAATAAAAATATGTAATATATGTAATATATTATCTAAAATTTTTTCCGAAGTTTTATACATAATAATTTAAATACTATAGCCATACTATAATTTATACATTGTTATTATAGCAAGTATAATATCATGTTATTAGATCAAAAATTATTGCTATTATTGCTCTGCAACTCAATAAAAAATTGTTTATGGCTCCTGTCCAAAGTATGCCATTTTCAATTTTTCGCGCCATTACGTCGGTAAGAAGCAATTGTTGAGAACCTTTTGTCGCTCGTCTTTTGTTTTAACCTTTTGTTTTAACCAAGTTTTTAGCAGTCTTAGTCGTTACCAGTCGTTACATGCGATCACTTGTAAAAACATGTACGCATTAATTAAATTTTCCAATGAAACGTATTATATTTGTAAAATTTCGCAATTACCTTCACTTAAACGTAGTTTACGTGCTAAGAAAAGAAAAGCTACAAGTTTATATCAACAAATAGAAATTATAGTGCGGCATCGTAAGTCATTTTTTGTAAAATTCCTTGAAAAGTATTAAATAATATTACTATATATTTTCACATATTGTACAATAACATGAAAATGCGTTTATAAATAGTTCTTTCATTAGATTTATATTGAAAACATATATTGTATATGTGTTGTATGTACATATACCTATATATTATATATATTGTACAT